CTGAACAGTAATGGGCACTGCACAATAGCTGATAGGGAAATTTGCGATCGAGTACAAGTTTCCGCCAAGCTGCAAAGAAATTTATCGAATGACAGTCGTCGAAATGTACGCGAAGCTTACTCGGTGTGCCAAATAATCGTTGCATGAACCATGTATTTTAGCGTCCTGTCACACAAGCAATGAGTAAATGCTCTGGAACAATATCGAACAACAATTTTCATATAAATTCATCCAACAAGAGCAAAATAAGCACCGAAAGCGCGTCTATTGCGTTTCCCTGAACGACTAGCTCCAACTCGAATCAAAGAAACGGCGCAAATGTCGTCAAATTAAGCCAGAGGCGCCACTTCAAATAGGGGATATGTCATATCAACGGCCCCTGAAGCAACTCCAGTGCAGCACTTCGTCAAATACATCAGCTTCATTTCATCATTTAATAAAAAGCTGCTCAGCATGACTTCAAACTCCTTTACAGTCTGAGGATAGTCAGCTGGGTTCCCGTCGAAACACCGATGCTCATATTTAGGAATTTTAAAATTTCTATTATACCTAGACGGCGAAACATTGACATCAACCTTATCATGCTTAACATCACACACATCATAACATGTAAAAGACAGCTCAGCATTACTCACTTTCCTGCTTGCTTCCAAGACGCTTTGTCCCTTCTTTGACACAGTCATTATTGAACTTGACCAAATAATCAAGAAACGTTCCAGATAATACTTGTCCAAAGAAGACAAGCCGACACGAGGAAAGACGAACAGAAACTATAACAAAGTGTAAGTGTCCAGGTCTTACTACACTGGACGTCACGCTGTCCTTGGAAGACTTTCAGGAACTATGCGTAGTAACCAACAAGAAAAACCAGAACACAAATTGGTGACTCAAGAACCGTTTATTCTTGCACCAATATAGAGCCACCCATAAGTTTTTGTACACAAAGTCTAAGAATGAATGTCATAACAATAAATCATGATAATACTTCTGATAGTTTTCTCTGTCTTCCAATGAACAGCCAGCGATTAAACGATGACTTCACTATCGACGACCGTCACCAAAATATAGAGTTGAGTTTGAGCAAAAAACCATGATTTGATCCTTCAATCTTCAACGACGCTGACAGATATTTTCAACCAATATATGAGCAAGTTCGCCAGTGTATTGCATCCCACCCGTAGAATAGAGCAGTCTGAGAGCAAAACGCAATCATTCATGTCGAAAGAGTCTAAGCAAAGCGGATATCGAGAAAGCTTTATGGTATCTAGTAATCCATATAAACTTAGTGAGTGCGACAGCTTTCGTGGGATATCCCCAACAGATAGGTTACAAGTTGAGAGACAAACACGGTTGTGTTTTGCACGTTTGCAAGAAGTGCATACAAAGGCGAACTGTGAAGAAGTGATCAAGGTTAGTGGTAAGCTAAATGTGAAATCAGCATCATCACTACCTGAATACAAATTGTATTTATTTTTATTTTGATTACAGCTTGATTCCACACTGTATTTTTAGTACAAGTATGAAATATTCAGCATGTGATTTCGGTAGTCCAAATTTTGCAGACTGACTATAGATATCAGGTGTGCCTCAGCGGGGCGTCAAACCCCGGAGCATGTGGATGGTTGGCGGGAGTCCTAAACACTGTGCCACTGACGCACATAGGTGTGACAGTAATGGCACGGTGAAGAAGCCTGTAGTTGCAACTGGTAAGTCATTGTTGAATGGAGTGTCACGGACGACGCCACGGTTTGTGCAGGAGAAGAGAGTTGCAGTTTCAGAGTCCAGTTCTGACTCCACAAGTTTATAAGGTATCGCTAGTCAGAGTGAAGGTATAAAACCTTTAAGGATTTGTGAGGAAGAGCCCAAATCATCTACTGCTGTTATTAAAGAGTTTGAAGATCATGAAGTCGACCAGATAGACGACGGTAAAGTGAATATTTGGGATAATGATCATGATAGTGCACTTTTGTCTTTGGTTGATCATGATGAGATGAGGGGAATGCCTACTACTGCTGAGTTGAACAAAGGCTCTGTACCACTTGAACGTGAAGTAGAATTAAGGGTAGATGTGGTGGTAGAAGGTATGAATACTCGTGAGACCGTCAGTGTAAATGATCCGCGTGTAGTCCAACTATCGACAGATGTTAATGCTAAACTGGAGCTAATAATAAAAGATAGCAGTGGTGGTAATCTTGCAGTTAGACAAACTTCTAAAAACCGAACAACGACAGCTTCTGATGCACCGCTAAGTTCATCAATTTGTGTCATTCAGTCGTCGTTGGCGTTGTGATCCACAATGAAAGGGACGTCCATGAGGTCATGTGTCTTGTGCCGTGACTATGCTAGTATCGATCTGTCTGAAAAGACGAATGTCAATGGTCGGTTTAGGGACGATAACTCAACTGTGTATGAGAGGATACTTGTTAAGCTGACTTGCACGAATAAATGCCTTTCAAGCTTCAAATTGCTTTTTGAATATTATTATTTCTGGTGTAAATTACGCTGTACCCAAGATTGGTTGGTGGGGTACTTCGTGTGTTTGTTAGTCATCTACATTCCACGATACAGTGACATGGGCGTGTTACCTTTCGGAGTTGAGGGGACAGCTGATGGAAGGAGGTCAGCAAATAGACCCTGCGACGATTTTCCAACTTAAGGTGTCAACGTGAGAAGGGTTGCAGGCGTACTGGTGTAAGTCCTGCGATTCTTCAAAGGAATTACATCGAGACACGATCGGCGAGGCTATTTGTACTGTTTGTATGTACGTGTGTTGTGCCATATCACAATTGGTGCTTTTGGATTCACTGTGTTTGCTTGTTGTTTTCGTGTCCTGCCATATTGCATAATTTTCTTAAGTTGTTCGTCGTGCTTACCGCTGAAGTTGTTTCGAGTCTTCTACAACCACGAATGAATTGATTGATGTTGAAGACAGCAGATGGATCGCGTACGCCGGGGAGGCTAAGCTAGTGCTGAGAATGACATGCACACTGAGATAATGATTAGGTGTGTTTTCACACGCCGGAGAGCGAGTGTGTGGACGACTGAGGTTTGCATACGTCACCGTTACTATAACTGAGGTACACTGAGTGACAAGCGATCGCGGTGGAAATTGGTAGTGAATTGATAAGAGGATGTGCGAAGAGTATCGTGAGGTGCTCCTATGGTCACGTTGCGTTCTGCGAGAGTCATTCTAGCAAGTGGCCATTGTGTTGCAAGAGGATGTGTCAAGAGGATGACTTTGACTGGAATGCGCGGGTCGTCGTCGATGAGTGAGATCGTGCTGTGGGTATGCCTGTGGTGTGTTGGCTTTTCTGTTTGTTTTCCATTTCAGTTTTATACGTGTGACCCAGGTTCTCGCACTGGCATCCAAGTCAACGTGTATTGATCGTGATGGAAAAAAGGATGGATCCGTTTTTTGCCGGGGAGTAACAGCTTGGTTAAAGATTGAACGATCAATTCGTGGTTGTTTGCTGAAACCCAACTCCTCCATATTTTTCGCGGGAGTCATCAATCCAGCAGTCATCGTTTCATCGTTCGATGTTCGAGGAAGATAAAAAACTATCAGAAGTATTATCATGATTTATTGTTATAACATTTATTCTGTGTTGACTACCGAGGTCTTTGTGATAAAGTTTAGCTACATGCAAGTTTGTTACATAATGTTCTGCCACATGTCGCAGGTCTGTGCTTCACAGAGATTTCGTGGCACAGGTCTGTGGCAATTCCTCTGCCATCTGGTTTTTTGTGCCAGAAACACGCTGGGTATCCGAAGTGAATTGGTAATAATAATAATTTTATTTTCATATAAACATAAATTTACATGAAAATGCATGCCATTTTTACAGGCACGATCAAGTATGGTGTAATGTCAAATCTTGAATTGTCTACAAGTTAATAGTGTTTCAACAGTTAAATATTTGATACATATATATAATTAAACTCATTGTCTGAACCAGGCCGCATAGTTATTGAATTGTACAGTTGTCCTCCAGGTTGAGCGGGAAAATCGACTTCGTTTCGTTTTCATCCCGTGGTTGTAGGCATACGATAACCAACCAATATTGAGGTTAGTACAACATTTAGAAGGGATTGGAAGCTGTTTTAGAAAAGTTGAAGTGCTAAGGTGAAACATTAAAGTGTAATAGATTAAGTGAGTGAAATATATCATTAATAAACACTTTTATATAGAAAACAGAATGGGGAAGTAATTAATCCTTAGGCCGACAACGTTCATTTGCAATGTATAATAAAACCAATATATTTCGTACCATCATGATGTCCACTTTTGGCTTTAATACAATTATTTTCAAGCCAGTTGTTTTTATTTCATGTCTTTTATTCTATTTGGTGCACAACCGTACCCTACAGAGAATAGGAATAGAATAAGTCGAATCAAATTCATAAAGAGCTATAAAATGTTAGGTTTAATGGAATATAATGAGGATCAAGTAAAGACGTTATTAGAAAATAAGTGAGACAAGATATTGTGAAGTGGTATTCAAAGATCTGACAACGGATAGCAAGTTAATTTATAAGATGCCCATAAATCTGTGCAGAGCCCACATGGTCGCATCTCAACAATAGGCTGGGCGAATGGTATATATTTAAAGGCAGAAGCATGATCTGTCTAGGTGTTCATTATTATCTTTTTCAAGATAAAGATCTAAGCCCTCATAAAAATCAGAAATATCTCGAGCCTTCAAATTGCATATTGCTGGTCCTGCAGAATGGGGTGATTCACCCTAGTGACCACCACCATATCTACTGATCAGCTAACGCTACCCTCCCTCTTTTTTTAGAGAATAGTCTTTTATTATCAGAAACCTCGGGATGGAATTTGTACACATGTAAAAACCAAGAGTATTTACACAGATAATAATAATAATTAACAGGTATCTCTTTTTACACTGTGGTCTGTAAATCTCACAGCGAAATAGCAAATTTACAGTGTGCGAGAGTGTATACACATATATGTGTAGTTAGTTACTTATATATACAATTCATTTATTACTTCGTATAGCATGCTCCAAGTGTTCTCTGTCTGTACCGAATTGATAATAATGCGGAGCTAATTCTAATAACCAATCAGGCTGTATAACACTAACACCACTGACACATGTGCTAGGTGGATCATTTTTATCAAAATTTCCAATTTTTCCAGAATTGTTACCATCATCTAAATTGGGTGTAAGAAAAACATTTGTAAACAGTATATACGCCGGCCAACGCGATGTAGATGAGTATAAGACACAATTTGGATGTAAACGTAATTGATGATCTCCTCTGATAGTCAGATAATGCGATCCAGATGGACCTAGACGAGCAGCCTGATGAAAGAAACCTCTTACAAGAGATCGAAGTATTGGATTAGGATTGCCTTCAGGTTCAGCTTTCACTCAGGGTAATTTTAAACGACGAAACATAGAACCAATTCGATCACGTAATATAATAGCATGTGCCAAACCACGTTCATTTAAACCAACTTCACGACACCATGTACAAAGTTCTGACTTTGACAATACTTTTGACTGTTGTTCATAAGCAACAAATGCATTCAACTCTGTTAAATGATCCCCTTGATGACATCCAAATGTCTGTCTACGAATACGGTCACCAGTGCGTTTGTAATCGGAGACAGTAAATACTCTTTGGATTTGCATTAATGAAACAATAGCAGCAACCTCTTGAGAGCATCCTTCATCACATGCACCTAATAATGCAGCAGCTGCTGACGGTTGATCTAAACCGCATGTTGTAGACACTTCAGCCAACTTCAAACCATGAGGAATTGTAAGATGACCAGAATTTGCATCAAGAGCACCCAGAGCGACAAGTCGTTCTACCGACTGACCAACGTGTGATGGAGGCGGTGGATCAAGCCAGTCAAACTGAGCCAACCGATCAATACCAAGAGTTTTTAGGCGTAACAATGCACAGGACAGTTCAACACGTAAAGACTCTGGTTGTGTGAAACGTGGTAAGAGTTTATGAAATGACTCTTCTGTATAGAACCGATAGACCTGTCCTGTTCTTGTACGTCCTGCACGCCCAGCACGTTGTCGTGCTGACACTTGTAATGTAGGTATAGTCACCAGAGCTTCAAGTCCGTTGATAGGATTATACGCTCGAATTCACGAAAAGCCAGAATCTATCACATAAGAAATGCCTGGAATAGTGACTGAGGCTTCAGCGACATTTGTAGCTACAACAACCTTACGACAAGCTCTAGTTGGTCGCTCAAAGATACGCAGTTGTTCGTGTTGGGGAAGAGAACCATGCAGTTGTAGACAACGTAATGGTGGATAAGCTGTAGATGATGTTTTTAACTTTGAATTTTGTTGTTGAGTATTAAGAAAACGTTCTTTTCTATTTCGATATTTAGCTATTAGGTCACCGACTAATTGAGACACTTCATTTTCAACTGTGACAAAGATAAGTATATCACCTCCTAAAGGTTTAGTTTCATGTATTCGAAAAACTGTTTCTTTTGCTGCAGTTAAATAACACGGAACAGGATCAATGGAACAAAATACAGAAACAGGATATTGACGTCCTTCAACACTTAAATGAGATACTGGAGTTAACTTTAGTGTTTGTTTATTGTCTTCACTTTCTGGTGGTTTCATTTTTGAAAAATATTCTACAAATTTTTCAGCCTCCATAGTAGCCGAAGAAATGATCACTCTTAAATCATATGGTCGTTTTCGTAACACTTTTTTAATAAGTCCCAAAAGAATATCAGTTTGTAGAGACCTTTCATGAACTTCGTCTAACATTATTACACGGAAACGAGTTAATAGTGGATCACGTAATAATTCTTGTATCATCATACCTTCAGTAAGTTATGAGATGACAGTTGAACCTGGTGTCCAACATTCCTCAAAACGTATTATATATCCAACATGTTTACCGATCTGCCAATTCTTTTCTTCAGCCACACGAGTAGCTACAGTCAGAGCAGCTACACGTCGAGGCTGTGTCACTGCCATTGTAACTCCAGATGGATGAGGATTACTGGATTTCAGATTCAACCAACCAGCTTCATAAACATATTGAGGTAGTTGAGTCGATTTTCCAATGCCAGCTTCTCCAGTGACAATTAAAACTCTTGAATTTTCAAGCAGGTATAGAAATTGACTTCTTTTGGTGAAAACAGGAAGCTATTGACGTTGCTGCTCAACCGAATTAAAAGAATCAGATGCAGAGAATTGCAGAAGTAGGCTGCTACAGCCCTCATCTTCATTGAATTCAGGAACTTCTTCTGAAAGATCAAAAGTTAGTTTCTCTTCATCATCCGGGTTGATAAAGCGCGAATTCATAACTGGAATTATTTATTTTGAATGTCACTGATCAGTTGGAATCCATTACAACGAACTACACCATGCCAAAATCACAAGGAATACTCGTGCTCCGACCGTGTAATGCTATTTTAACGGCGTTATGACCTTCAGCCTAAGTGTCGTAATTCACGTGAAGTGTACCCATCCGTTGAGGCCTGAAGAGCACAAGCCAAATGTTTGTGGTCATTAAAAGGAGTAAACCGACTAATTTCTACAAGGTGGTGAAAGTGTTCGACGTGAACATAAACGGCAAGGAGTTCGTGACCAAATGTTTTGCATCCCATTTCACTTGCGAACAGCTTCAGGGAAAAGGAAGCTTAGGGTGTCCAGGTATTTTTCATGAGCTGCTGTGGGACAGTCCCTGTGTCCGTATTAGATGCATCGACCGAAATGCTGAGATGTTAAATATCCAGATGCATCATGTCAAGGAGCTTATCCCTAAGTTCTTATTGTTACGACGACGCTCCGCACCGATATATACTATGTACTTTCTTGGACTTTAACTCCAAAACACCAGTATTGGTAGAAGGAAGTTATAATGTTTGGCAATTAAAGTAGAGCACAGAAAAAGCCTACAAACAAATGTTTTATACACCTTTGTGGTGCACTTTTGTTCGTTTTTGATGGTCTTCGTCGATCTTGTACACAATCGAAGCGTTCGCGCCTTCGAGTTGCCCACCAATGGCTACCAGTTCTAGAAGGAAATGTTCATTGTTCGCTTCCATCGAGACTGCCCGCTAATAAATGGTGCATCACGTTTTTCCATGGCGATGAATACCTGGAACTAAACTTTCAATGCGGGACTTGTGCCAACCGGGAATTCCCTAAAATGGAAAAGCAACAGTTAAATGCGCAACACACGATGAGCATACCTCATCACTCCTACACTCTCCCCGGAGCGTGAAATATCCGCTGTCTATAGGCAGGACCACCACTGATCTGGTTCACGATGTGTTGGTTGCTTCATATCACTGTGGAACAATCCTATCACCGGCGTATCCAATCGCACACACTGGATGTAACACTATTCGATTTGTTCACAAGTTTAGAAGACTAGAAACGACTTCAGAAGTACTTACAGTAATTAAAAGAATTAGTCCCTTTGAATTAGGCATTAAGAAAAACATTTCGCGAGATGATATCACTTCGTAGTTTCTTTTCAACCACTTTACAACTAACATGGTTAAAAATGATAAAATAAAGTTCATGAAAATTACTCAGTTAAAAAAAAACAAAAGTGCATACTAATGACCAATCATATTTAGATAGGTGATGTAGTCCATGGTATGCGAAGATTGAAGTCTATTTTTTTGTACACACAGTTTAGGCTGTATGTGATTAATCCAGAGTGCTTCCATCACCTTCAGTAACCTTGAATAAGAGTTAAGTGAGCTAATTATTATCTGCTGGCTGCTTCTGTTTTCTTCACTTCTCGAAGGTATTGCACTGAAGCACTGCTAATGAACAGTAATCCTACTTTCTACATTTGTATTACTTGAGCGGTATCCAGAATATTGTTAGCACTTACGATGAACAACGGAACAAATTCCATTCTGAATTCTGTTCAACATCGCAAAGTTAACTTTGCGACCAATTGGTCCTTTTTATCTGCTAATACCAATATAATGCTGTACTTACCATCTAATGTGGATTTTTATAAACTTTCGAACGCTTATTGATTGATAAAATGATAATAATAACGGTCTGGATCCAGTGTGGCTTACTCTAGCACCTGTATATCACCTCTCTTCTTACCTTCCATTAACGCAAAATTTCATAATTCCCTCGTGAATCTGACTCACTATGAGTATATTAAATATTATAATTTAGACTTAAGCCAAAATCTTATATTCTGTTCTTATAAGGTTTCTAGAGGTCATCTTCCAATTTTTAATTTCATGAAACAGTGTTCAATTTCAGACTGCACTTGTCTAATATGATCATGCCTGTACAAACGTTATGTGAATCATGTAAATGCTTAATTTATCTGAAATATATATATTATTATTAATTGTGAAACAGTCGTTAATATTCATTTTGTAACCAGACACTATTAAATGTTTTGCAATGGATGATTCTGGATATCTGTTAAGATTATTCACTTTGGGATTTTCGATATGATTTAGTAGCCATTTTGGAACATGTTCTTTTCGACGACATTGAAAAATTCTGTTAGTTCCGACTATAAGTGTGTCACCGCAGCTGCAGGTGAACTTGTAGATACGGTATGAAGTAAAGTCCACAGAATTTCGTCCTTTAATCGCAGGAACAGGGATCGGAAATGCTCGGAAAGTGCGAAAAAGAGATGCGAAGATATACTTTCGGGAATTTCATTCTCAAAAGCTGTACAATCGCATTTATATAGATTATTTTACATGGATACAATTATTATTTGTTTAATTTCACATAGTAACGGAGGTGATAATAATTTTCAACTTGATATGAAAGTTTGAAGGTACGAATATAGATTACGATGGGCTTAGAGACAAGATTTCATAGGATTAGAAAATGGTTACAACGTGTGCAAAAAAATTAATATTTGATAGCTGGAGAAATAATTTTAAAGGCTAATCATAGGTGATAATTATTTTCGACTTGATACGAATTACAAGAGGCTTAGAAACGCAGGGATAGAACGAATTACAGGTGTGAACAAAATGAGCATGGAAACAAATTGAAATCAAAAATTCCAACTTGAAATGTTAGTTAGGAGGTATGAATATAGATTACAAGATGCATAGAGACAGAAAATTTCACAGGATTAGGATATAATTGTAAAATTGTATAAACTCAAGCCCGACGTCTACTGACGAAAGAGCACAGAAGGCAACTCAAAGAATTAAGGGACAATAAAGATTCAATAATGACACGTCCTGACAAGGGATCATGAGTGGTCCTAATGGAAAGAGATGTATATATTAACAAAATGACAACACCTATATCAGATGACAAGAAATTCGCCAAGCCCGAGAATGAGAAAAACAAGACAGAAACGATAGAAAGGCAACTAAATGATGTTCTCAGAAGAATGAAGAACGACCGTCTGATACCTGAGGACCTGTTCGACCGCCTTAAACCGACAGGATCAACTATTCCCCGACTCTACGGCTTACCAAAGGTACACAAACCTGGCTTGCCGCTTCAACCGATTCTAGACATGTCAGGGTCACCATATCATTCAATCGCCAAGTGGTTGTCCGAAATGTTGGAGCCGGTAAGACAACACCTATGCAAATACTCTCTTCGTGATACTTTTGAGTTCGTTGAATGCATAAAAGATTTGAATGTAAATGATAGACGAATGTCATCACTAGATGTTGAATCTCTTTTTACCAACGTGCCACAAACAGAAACAATTTGCTTTCTGTGCAGTTATATGCAGAAATCTAATATAAGCGTTGGAGTACCAATATCATGTCTGAAGGAATTGTTGCTGAGATGCACGCTGAATGTACAATTCATCTTCAACGGCGACATCTACAGACAGAAAGATGGAATTCCAAAAGGATTTCCTCTTGGCCCGCTTTTAGCAGACTGCTTTATGGCCAGTTTGGAAAGTGGAGTTTTAAAATCAACAATAAACAAATTAATACTATACAAGAGGTACGTTGACGATACCTTTATAGTCTGCCACGATAACTCTGATCTCAACTGCATCTTACAAGAATTCAATAATTCCCACCCTTCGATTAAATTCACAATGGAGTTAGAAAACGATTCAAAGATTCTATTTCTGGACGTGGAATTGACAAGAAGAGATGATGGAACCCTGAAAAGGTCCATCCAAAGAAAACCGAAATGGAATGGCCAACTAACGCATTTCTATGTTTGGATATCTTTGAGCCGAAAACGAGCCCTCATCAGCGCACTAACCCATCGCATTAGAAAAATCTGCAGCAACGATTGCATGGAAGAGGAGCTCCAATTCCTCAAAAATATCCTGGCTCAAAATAGCTACCCAACACGTTTTGTCGAAAAGAACATGAAACCTAAACCTAAAAGAGAAGAATGCGATTCAGCGCCAAAGAAAACGCTGTATCTAAATCTGAATTTCAAGGGAGATTTGGCAGCTGATATACTGAAAAAGAGAATATCCAGCTCTTTAAAGAAGACCTTCCCTGCAGCACCACTAAGAGTGACATTCTCTAGCCGTCCAATACTTCGAAACGACACGAAGGGCAAACTCCCGCATATGACCAATTCAGTGTACATATACCAGTTCACTTGCTAGTGTGGAGCTAGGTACACAGGTCGTTGCATGCGCGTCCTATCATGACGTGTTAGAGAACACTACCCAGCGTGGCTGCAAAGAGGAGGCACCGGTTCAATCAGATGTGCCATTATTGAACACCTGGTCAACACCTCCCACAAAATCTGAACCGATCCTTTCAAAGTGATTTACAAAGCCAACAGAAACCTAGCAACAGTAGTGTGTTTCCGACTTCTTTGTACTGCAGAAGCCCTCGCAATATGCATCGAGAAGCCGGAGC